TGGCAAACTTAACTGTAAGGCTGACAAGTGACTAAGAATTGAGAGACTCCGGTGGGCACGGTGGCTCAGGCCTCCGGTAATCCCCATGACCTTTGGGAGGCCGAGGAGGGCTGGATTACGAGGTCAGGAGTTTGACAGAGTTGAGAAAGGGTAGAAGAACTGTATAAGAAAACTTTCACCCGCAGAAGATTTGTCTAGGAAATGGCAAACTTAACTGTGGTTGACAAGACTAAGAATTGAGAGACTCGTGGGCACGGTGGCTCAGGCCTGTAATCCCGCACCTTGGGAGGCCGAGGAGGGCGGATTACAGGTCAGGAGTTTGAGACCCAGCCTGGCCAACATGGTGAAACTCCGTTTCTACTAAAAATACAAACATTAGCCAGGCGTAGTGGCTCGCTCCTGTAGTCTCAGCTACTAGGGAGGCTGAGGCAGAAGAATCGCTTGAACCTAGGAGGTGGAGGTTGCAGTGAGACAAGACTACACCACTGCACTCCAGCCGGGGTGAAAGAATGAGACTCTGTCTCAAAAAAAAAAAAAAAAGAATTGAGAGACTCCACTAAAACAGACTCACTTGACTTAAATGAAGACGCATTCCTGACCAATGAACAATGGGGTTTGCACTAACCAACTGTGTAGGAACTTAAAATTCATTCTGACTACCCAAGGTACAAAATTCAATGATCAACTGGCATAATCACAGTGAACTACCTCTTCTTAGCCCATAAAACACATACATTGTCCCTGTCAGAGAATCATTTGGTGATACTGCTCACCTGTGTGAGTTTTCTTATATGGCACGTAAATAAATTGACTTGCATTTTTAATTAGTGTGGTGACTGTCTTTCACCAAATCTAAATAGTTGGCCTTATTACGTTGTTTTCATGCCTCTTTTTTGAAAAACACAGTTTAGTTCATCATTTGAAAATATCAGACAAAAAAAGGAATATGGAAAACTAAATCGTATCCCTAAATCCTGAAAGAATGATATAGAAAACTACAACAAAACAAGTCTCATGAACTTCTCAAAATTCTATAAATTATATTCTCACACAGAAAGGAATAACAGTGACACTAGGTTATAATAGAAAACCTATAATGTAGTATAACTTATCATTAGAGTGATAGCACAATGTTAAATCTCTTTATCTGAAATTAGATAACATTTAAGTAGAAGAAACCAGAATTTTAAATTTGTTTTCTCCGTTAATAATGCTGCCAGTTCTTCCTAGCTTTAAACCCCCTGGCCTAAATTCCACTTGCTTGACTTGTACATATATGTTAATATCCTGAACAAATGTCATCTCTTCCATTGTGTTTCCTGACCAGCCTCAAAATCTTTAGCTTAACCAACTGTTCTTTCATTCTGATTTTCAAAGTATGTCATACTCACTTCTAGTACAGCATTAGTCAAGCTTTATTCTAGTTAAGGACATGCATATATGCTGTTCCAACAGGATTTTAGAGCCTAAAAGCTCAGGCTCTGTATGACTTACCTTTGGATTCTTCACAGCATCTGATAGTTCCTGGTACAAATTACCTTGGTGATCATTAAACCTGCTTCTACCATATGAACTTTGTTTGGGGACAGTATGTTGGTACAGCATATTTTCCTTAATTTAAGGCTCACAGTTCTGTTGGTAATGTCTTATCTAAATTTTATAGAGAAATGCATATAATACGTGTGTATGTGTTTGTAAGTTGGAAATTCAAAGGTATCATAATTTATAGCTAGCCATCAATGGTTTGTTAAATAAATCAATCTGCATTTAATAAATAGCATGTGCCCAGCAAACTTCTCATGTCACACAAATTATGTACATGCAATTAAACAAATATATATGTAATATATAGGTATACGTGTGTGTGTGTATATATATATCCGACAAAAAAAAAATATATATATATATAGAGAGAGAAAGTCTTGTTCTGTTGCCCAGGCTACAGTGCCATGCATGGCATGATCACAGCTCACTGCAGCCTCAAACTCCTAGGCTCAAGCAATCCTCCTAGCTCAGCCTTCCAAGTACCTGGGACTATAGGCATGAGCCATCACGCCCAGCTAATTTTGAAATTTTTTTTGTAGAGATGGAGTCTTACTATGTTGCCCAGGCTGGTCTCAAACTCCTGGCCTCAAGTTATCCTCCCAACTCAGCCTCCCAAAGTGCTGGGATTACAGGTGGGAGCTGCTACACCTAGCCATAAATTATATTTGATCATAAACAGAACCATAATAAATCTGATGCTTTTGTTAAAACATATTAATATTAACCTAAGACATACAGAAAGCATTTGAATGAATGAATAAATTAACGAATAACTGGGCAATTCTTAGGTGTTACACATATTCATATACATAATTTTTCCTTATAGATGTAATTTCCCATAATTTAAGTTATAATTTCTGCTCACTTTGGTTTAAAATGGCTTTAAGCATTCATATGTGTAATTAAGCATAGTACTTTTGATCAGAGAAGAAAAAGGAGATGATCAAAAATTATTAGAAATATTCTTTATAAATTTTATTTTATTTTATTTTATTTTTTTTTTTGAGACGGAGTCTCACTCTGTCCCCCAGGCTGGAGTGCAGTGGCCGGATCTCAGCTCACTGCAAGCTCTGCCTCCCAGGTTCACGCCATTCTCCTGCCTCAGCCTCCTGAGTAGCTGGGACTACAGGCGCCCGCCACTGCGCCCGGCTAATTTTTGTATTTTTTTTAGTAGAGACGGGGTTTCACCGTGTTAGCCAGGATGTTAAATTACAAATTATTCTAAATTCTTATAGAAATATTCTTTATGAATTAAATATTCTTTATAAGTATTCTTTATAAATATATGTTTTCTATAATTTATATAAATATTCTTTATAAATTTTATGATAGATCTGGGTTCAAATCTTGGATCAGTCACTTACTTGTTGGTGGTCTTGGCAAAAAATACCTAATCTTGAACTTGTAAAATAAGGTTTACGTCTAACTTATTGTGAAGATTAAATAAAATAAAGGATGTAAAGTTGTAGGCAGAATGATATCACACTGGAGACACATGATTTAGGTTTTTAAAGGCTATTACATCTCCTCTGTCAAATTCCAGGATTGGGCTTAAGCATCTTTAGTCCCAGAAAAGATTGGTGAGGAGGTTCACTTGAGCTCTGGGTAGGGCAAAGGGGTCTTACTTTCTGGTCAATGGAAGTATCCAAGCTTATGTTATAGCCCAGAGAGGTAGACATCAGAACAAAACAAACTGTGATGAGAATCAAAGCAGCCAAGAGGTGTGAGTGCTTTCTCCCTCTGTATCAGCCAGAGCCAAGTGGCTCGTTGTTTACTCATATAGACTCACCTTTTTAGAGCCTGAAAGGAACACTTAGTCATTCTCGATTTTTAAATGAGAAAACTAAGGCTCAGTGGCAAAATAACTTTGCCTGGGGTTCCACAGCTGTTTGGAGGCAGGTCTGGAATGGAGTCCAGCTTTCCTGATACTTGTTCCATTATTTTTACTGCTAAGCCTCTCCTCGCTTACTTGGATAAAAGAAGGTAATATCAGCTTGGACACCGAATATCAAACCCTTGATCAGCTACCTAGGGCTCCACAAATCTTCCAGAGAATATATACCAAAGAACACTCAAGGAAAACACATGCTCTTGATTTCTAGTTGGGGTTTCCCATCTCCTTCCTTGCCCTAGTGTTCCCGGCTGGATTTTGTGTGAGTCTCAGGGACTCTCACTCTTCCTTGGGATAAATTCCTGGATAACAATCAAACTAAGCGGTCTGCTTCCTGCTTACTCCTCATGGGTCTCCTTGGAGCATGTTTGGCCTTCCAAGGTCATTAGGCATTCCCAAGCAAGAGGCAGCCTCATGGCCATCTCACTGACCAGTCTCAAAGAAGAGGAGGTCCCAGATATTAATAATAGCCATTAAGAACGGTAGTTTTATCATCATATCAGTGCCTACTAAGCAAATAACAATATGCTGGGTGATTTACATATGCTATTTCCTTTAGTCTCCACCTATCCTATAGAGTGGGACTTATTATCTTCATTTTATAGATTTACAGATGTGGAAGCTGAGGTCAAGTGATATACCTAAGGTTTTACAATTAAGTGGTAGGACTGAGTTTCAAATCCAGATTCCATGAGCTCAAGAGTTATGATACTACCCTTCTCACCGACAGAGATCAGAGTGTCTGCTCTATTTAAGGGCCCTTCATAACAAGTTCCCTCCTTTTACTAAAAGCTACATGTTCCACTAAGACAGCCTAATTTTGCCTCATTAAAGATATGTCTTTTTTCTCACACACATCAGAACTTCTCTTCCGTGTGGAAGAGACTAGATGGGGCAGGGAAAGACTGGTATTTCTCCCTGGGGTTAGAGTGTACCCTTTATGGTGAGGATAATTTAAATACTCTTGATTAAGAAAGGACTCTACCTCCATCTGGAGGTCCAGGTTCTTCTGGAAGGTCCAGAAGTGCCTGTTAAAAAATCATTATTTTATTTTTTATACATTGTATAGAGTAAAATAGTTTTTCTATTTCTTTTAAAATGGATTATCAGGGGAAACAGGTCAAAGAAATGTATACATAAATTCTATATCCTCTAAGTGTATGTCTACAGATGTGTGTATGAATATGTATGCATATATTCTTCTACTCACTAAAATACTTGTGTTATTTTGCTTCAATAAAGTCAATACTTTTTAATTTCATTGATATCTGTTAGTGCCAGTTAACTGCCAGTGAATAAGCAGGGCTCTGTGAGTTTTAGGTGGAATGAGATGGCCCTGCTCTCAAGGAGCCACAGCCTAGAAAAGGAGACAGGTCCTTAAAACTCAGGAATCCATATACACTCAAATTATTTACCAAAAGAAATGAGTTTTCATATATAATTATAATTTTTGTTTTTAATTCTAAGAAATAAGTTACCTTATGATTAGAGGTCAATGATATTCAATGTATTAAATTAAAACTATAACAGACACATCACCATTTGCTTCAGCAGTTTATCTTACCTTCATCTTTTGGTGGTACTGCTAAAGAATTCTGCATTATGATGTACTGGACTTGAATAGTATCTTTCCTAAAAATAAGCAAGCACAAATAAGTATTAGAAAGTAATTGAGAGAGCATGTTAACGCATACTAAATATAGAAATTCTAAGCTGTTTTTTAAAGTTTGTTTTATAACTACACGAGTAATACAAAATGCATTGAGTTATTAAGAATTGATGTTTTTATTTCTTCTCATTTTTCTACAAACAGGATTTTATTGGATGTACTAGAATGGGCTTAGAGACAGATGCAACGACACATCAGGGGTCTTACTCACATTTCTGCTCTCATGGGGTCATGTGTAAGTAGGCAAAGTTAGGATTCTCTGAAAATGTACTCTCTGATAATTGATTCATATACTTTAAGAACAAATAGCTAAAATGCTTAACAGTTTAAAGGTAATATAATTGCAATATAATCATTTGATGAAATATAACTCAGTCATTAAAATGCAACTGTGAAGATTACATAGCAACATAAAAAAGGTTAATGATGCGATGCACTGGATGAACATGCTAAATGACAGACACCAGCATTACAAATATACAAAAAATAAAGGCACAGGAAAACACATGGAAGAAAATATGTCAATATATAAATTTACAGTGTGTTTGGTGATGGAATTACAGGTGTTCTCCCCCATTCCCCACATTTTAGCTATTTTCCAAATTGTGAGTAATGTAGTATTCCATATTAATAAAATATCTGAATAAGGCAACTCAAATCTTTGAAAAATAGAAGTAATTTTTTTTATAAGTTCTTAAACAAAAAAGTGTTTCTAAGCATGACACCAAGTACAGAGCCCATTAAGGTAAAGACTGATGAATTTTTCGGTTTAAATTTTTAAATATTTTTAAAGTAAGAAAATTGGACAAAATTAAAAGGCATGATTACTACTTCTAGCCAAGATGGAATAACAGAGACCAGATTCATGCTTCCGCCTGAAACAACCAAAACACAGACAGAATATATGAAACAATGTTTTCAAAACAGTGAACATCAGTGATAGAAGCAGGAGGCAGAGAAATTCTAGGCAGACAGGGGCGGGTCCCCCGTGAAACGGCACCTTCAAGACAAAGTAGCCTGAAACCTGCGGCCCAAGGTGAGAACTTCTATCCCTGTTTGCCTGTTCTCTCCTGATTGGTTCTTTCTGAATAATGTCTTTTCACCAATCGAATGTTGCCTTTTCCAAAGCTACCCATGGCTTGCCCTGCCCCCCATTCTGAGCCTATAAAGACCCTAGACTCAGTCAGTAGAGGAGAGAAGCAGCTTGACTGAAGAGAAGCAACTTGACTTCAGAGGGACGGCTGCACTTCAGAGAAGAGACAGCTTAATTTTGGAGAGATGGTTTGACTTCAGGGAAGACTACCTGACCGTCCCGTCCTTTCCAGCTCCTCTCTCCGCTGAGAGCCATCCATCGCTAAATAAAATTATCTGCCTCCACCATCCTTCAAGTGTTGGCACGACCTCATTCTTCTTGGACACCACACAAGAGCTTGGGACCCACTGGATGTAGGTACCCAAAAAAGGCTGTCACACTAGCCCTTGCTGGCGGAGTATAGACGCCCCACCTGACAAGACAAGGGGCCCACTGAGCTGGTAACACACTGCGGTCCACAAATGGCAAAACTAAGCTAAGAGAGCACTGCAGCATGCCCTCTGGGATTTAGGGGATCACTCCCACCTGGGCACCGCCGCAAGGTGTGCATGGAGCGTGCTCCTGCCGGCACCCAAAGCAACCAGCCTGATCCGGCTCTCATTTGCTCACGTGCTCCCTCCTGCAAGGGGTTGAGTGTGGCGGGCTAAGTAAACAGGGCATCCCCATTGCAAACCTGACAAAGGGGTCAAGAAAAATCCTGCATCATCATGTCAAGAAAAACTGATCCCTGAGAGCCAGGAAACAATTGCAATGAGCCCTATGGCAACAACTGTGATGAGCTCTATGTGAGGAAAGATCCTTGCAGAGATTTCCAGAATACTGGAAAAGAGGGCTACACACAGACAGAGCACAACAGAGAGGGTCCTTGCTGGGTTATTTACCTTTGTAATGATCAACACAGGCAAGTGAGGAAACACCCCAAGACCAGGGAAAGGTTCAAGGTACACTACAGTCACAGAAGAACAGGAATATTGCCTGTTGCCATTAGCTAGGGTGAAAAAACTCACAATTCACAAAGGAATGGGTAGAGTACACAGAAGGGTCTTGCCTTAGTAGGGGGGAATACTTAATTCTAGACTGTGTATTTCTCTGGTTTCACATAAATCTTAAATCAAGACATGAAAAAATCAAACTGTTTCAAATTATTTTAACTATGTACCAGAACAAATCACAAAATATTTATAGAAATACAAAAATATCTACCACCAAATAAAGTAAAATTCATAATGACTGACATTTAATGAAAATTATCAAGCATGCAGAAATGCAGAAAAATATGATCCATAATTTAGAAAACAATCAAAACTTACCAGGACTGACACATATTAGAATTAGCAGACAAGGACATTAAGTGTATAACTGTATTTTATATGCTCAAAATGTTAAGTACAGGTAGAAAAGATACGAAAAAATTCACATAAAATTTCTAGAGATAAAAACTATAATGTATAAGATGAAAAATATACTGCATGAAATTAATGGTACATCAGACATGTCAGAAGAAAATATTAGCAAATCTGAAGACACAGCTATCGAGACTACACAGAATGGAGAAGACAGTAAAATTAAAAAAACAAAAAACAAAAATCAGAATCGAGAGCATCAGTGAGCTGCAGGCCAACTTTAAGAAGATTAATATGCCAGTATTTGAAGAGGGGAGAGATGGAAGGGCAAAAACATTATTTTTAAGAAAGAATGGCAGAACATTTTCCACCTTTGATGAAGCTGTGAACACACAGATCCAAACATCTCAAAACACCGATTCACAAGAAACATGAAACCATACTAAGGTATATCATTGCCAAACTGCTCAAAACTAGTGAAAAAAAAAGTTTTTAAAGGCACCCAGAGAAAAAGACACATTGCATATAAAGGAACAATGATAAGGATAACAACAGATTTTTTTACTATTAATAAAATGATGCAAGTCTGGCCAGGCGCGGAGGCTCATGCCTGTAATCCCAGCACTTTGGGAGACCGAGGTGGCACAGCACCTCAGGTCGGGTGAGACCAGCCTGACCAACATGGAGAAACCCACGTCTCTACTAAAAATACAAAAATTAGCTGGGCATGGTGGTGCATGCCTGTAATTCCAGTTACTCGGGAGGCTGAGGCAGGAGAATCGCTTGAACTCAGGAGGCGGAGGCTGTGGTGAGCCGAGATCGTGCCATTGCACTCCAGCCTGGGCAAAAAAAAAAAAAAAAAAAAAAAAAAGAAAGAAAAAGAAAACAAACAAAAACAAAAACAGTGCAAGTCTGAAGACAATAAACAATAAGAACAACTGTAATCTAGAATTCTTAGAACTCCAGGCCCTGATGTCTTCTCTAGTGACTTCTACTGAATATTTAAGGAAGAAATAATACCAATTATATATAAATCCTTCCAGAAAATTGAAAAGGAGGAAATGTTACTATCTAAAAAGTCAGCATTATCTAGATATCAAAACCAGACAAATCTATTACGAGAAAAGATTCCTATGGCCCAATATCCCTCATAAGCACATATGCAAAAGTAATAAACAAACTTCTAGCAAATCAAATCCAACAATATGAGAATACATCGTGATCAAGTAGAGTTATCCAGGAATACACAATTGGTTTAACATTCAAAATACATGTAATTTACCATCTTATTATGTTAAAAAAGAAAACTACACGATTATTTAAACAGATACAAAAATTGCATGTGATAAAATCCAACATCCATTACTGATAAAAAAAAAATTCTTTATAAATTTAGAAAGGAACTCCTCACTATGGTGAAACACATCTATTAATATGAGAAACTAAAGCTAAAATCATGCTAAATAATGAAAGACTAAATGCTTTCCCTCTAAGTTCACAAACAAGAGAAGGATATCTATTCTCACCACTTCTATTCAACCCTGTATTGGAAGTTCTAGCCAGTGCAATAAAACAAAAATAAATAAAATGTATTCAGATTGTGAAGCAAGACTTAAAATGGTCTTTATTTGCAGACGACATGATTGTCTAATTAGAAAATTCAATAGAATCTACAAACAAAGCCCTTCTAACTAATAACTGAGTTTAGCAAGGTTACATAATACAAGATCAATATGCAAAAATAAATTATATTTTTGTATCCTAGAAATAATCAGCAATTGAGACAAAAAATCAGAAATTGAGACACCATTTATAACAGCATAAAAAATGAAATAATTAAGGATAAGACTGGCAAAGTATGCGAAAGACCTATACACTGAAAACTAAAAAACACTCATAGAAATTTTAAAAGATCTAAACAAATGAAGAGATATACCACATTCAAAGGTTGGAAGACTCAATGTTGTTAAAATGACAATTTTCTTCTAATAGATATATAGATTCAATGTAATCCTCATCAAAATCCCAGTAGACTTTTTGTAGAAATTAACCAATTTTTAAAATTCACATGAAAATAGAAAGAGCTCAGAATAATCAAAACTTTCTTAAAAAAGAAGAAACAAATTGGACTGATGCTAATTTAGTTTCAAGAAAGAGACATATAGATCAATGCAACAGAATAGAGAGTCCATAAATAAATCCACACAGATATGTATTTTCATGAAAGTCCAAAGGGAAAGTTGTGGAACATGAATAGTCCCTTCAACAAATGATGATGCTTTCTCTATATGCGAAAAACAAAAAAAGAACTTTGAGCCAAACCTCACACCATATACAAAATTTGAAATGCATCATATACCCAAATGTAAAACACAAAACTTCTAAAAGAAAATACTGTGTCCTTTAGTCAGGCATAGGTATCTTAGACATGGCATCTGAAACATAATCCATAAAATAACAAACTAATGTGCTAAACTTCATCAAAATTGCAAACTTCTGCTCTTCAAAAGGTACCAATAAGAGAATG